GGGTCTGTGACGCTGCTCACTTAGCCTGCCTTGTAAGGGGACTGTAACGCTGCTCACTTAGCCTGCCTTGTAAGGGGACTGTAACGCTGCTCACTTTGCCTGCCTTGTAAGGGGACTGTGACGCTGCTCACTTAGCCTGCCTTGTAAGGGGACTGTGACGCTGCTCACTTAGCCTGCCTTGTAAGGGGACTGTGACGCTGCTCACTTAGCCTGCCTTGTAAGGGGACTGTAACGCTGCTCACTTAGCCTGCCTTGTAAGGGGACTGTAACGCTGCTCACTTAGCCTGTCTTGTGAAGACTGACACTGCTTACTTAGCATGTCTTTCCAGAGGACTACTACACTGCTTACTTAGCATGTCTGGCAATGGGACTCTTTGGTTATAAATATATAAACCTTTCAGACAGAGATAAATTAAAGATTGAGATATATCCGAGATGCTAAAACGTCATGAATACCGTGAGTTTTAGAGAGAAAAGATTAGTGTGTTCTTGGCCACATGTAATTGACTGTGCATGATACTATTAAATCGAATTTTACTGAATATTTAATACAAAAACTGTATCACAAACTTGTTGGTAATGTACGTATTCATGCTGAAAGTGGTATGAACTGTCCTGATAATTCCACGTACTTTGTTTGCTGCATACTGTCTTGTTAACTGCCCATTCTTTGCTTGCTGCATACTGCCCTGTTAATTCCTATACTTTGCTTTTACTAGCTACAACATACATTACTTTGATTCGAACAGTCTCATTCCCTCTGAAGCAAGCTATGTAGTTTGATAAAAGAAATATTTTAATGTAGAGTTTATAACCTAATGCCATAGGTGTATTTTTTTTACGGAGGCACGGGGTACATGCCCCTTTCATTTATTTAAGCACAGACTAAATTGTTTGATACAATATCCTTATGCATTTCTCAGCTACACAACTTTCTTTACCACTTTTGAAAGTAAAGCTAAGCCACTGTTGATGGCAATGTGTATTGCTAATGTAACTACAAAATACTTAATATAGAGCTATTAATCTGATTTTACCCTTTTTTTCTTTTGCCCGTTTACAGGGTTACCTGAAGTATTCGCCAATCTTTTATGGCTATTACAGTAACAGAGAAATGACCGAAGAAGGTTATCGTCTACCTTTGGCTTATTTTCTCACTTCCTTAGCTGTGTATATCTTCAGCTTTTTTGCTATTCTTAGAAGGTAAGCACCCGAAATCAAGTTTTTAGTTGGTTTTTTATTCCAGTACAAAAATAGTTTTATTCATTGCACTTGCAAAGCATTTTATTTTTACGAAAATAATATCCAAATTCTGTCTGTAATATACTGTTACGTCTCTGGTCGTTAGTTAATTTTCCGTAAAAAATATTTCCGAAGAAACTTTAGCGATACAAGTCCTTTCTTAAATAAAACTGGTTTATTCTATCTGAATACAATTTTGCAATACACTTAATTTCCACAGTCGCGCTATAACAAACGCTATAATTCACAAAGAACGTCTCACGTGCTCGACTCAACTGTCAATTACACATTGTTGCCGTCACTTCTTAGCGGCTTATATATACAAGACTACCGCATATCTAGTAACCTCTCGAGACTTCAGAGGGACGTGAACGTTAGAGAATATGACGCGTTACTAGCGTCACGTGACCCCCGCTGTCGTAACACTGCCCCTTCCTTAGTATTGTTCGTCCCGAACAATAGCCACTTACATTAAACAATAAACAATTAACAATAACTTAATTAAATGTACAGAATTTACAAACACAAAATTAAAATTCAACAAAGTCTCTTAATTTTACGGGACGTACCATTTTCCGTACTGGTCTCCGTCTCGTTGGCTTCTGCTTCATGTGTGGTTCATCTGCTTCATTAGGAAACGTCCTATCATTGGTAACAGTCACATCAGTGGTAGTAACTTCATCAAGGACTTCACTGTTTCCCTTCTCAAAACCGAGTAGAGTTTCTGCTTCGACAGTGGCTTTTTCAGGTGACAAGTCTTCAGCAGTGTCATTTGTTCCGTTGTTCATCCCAACTGAAATGTCCTGGACCGTGATAATGCCAAAGCCTGTTGGCATGCGCCACCTTTGGCTTACCTCGCCGCCCACATTTTATCCGGAAAGTCACGGCTGAGAGACGATCCACTATGTCATATGGGCCTTCCCATGGAGAAGACAACTTAAGAGACTTCCATTTGGTCTTCCTGGGATTATACAAACACCTTGTGTCCTGGTACAAAGCTGACTTCAGTAGATCTGTTATCATAAGATAACTTCCTCGAATCAGCAGACGTTTTCAAGTTTCAACGCACTTGATGGTGAATATCATCCATCCTTTCCGATAACACTTTCACAAACTGACACATTTTCAGGCAACTCTTCATAAGGTGAGCGTCCTGTTAACAGATCCACTGGCAACCGAAGTTCCCAACCAACATTAACTTTGCTGGAGTGTATCCAGTGGTTTCATGGTTTGATTTAATATCTATACCTGGTTCCATTTCACCATCATTAATTCCTTCAGTCACTTTGACTTC